AAACTAATGAACGCGATATTATTGTTTTCAAAAATAAATAAACAAATGCACGACGGCAGGTGTAATAGAAGAAGAAGAAGAAGAAGAAGAAGAAGAAGAAGAAGAAGAAGAAGAAAAAAAGCAAGGGTATTATAAATGTATCGGTGAGGAGAGGTTAATTGAAATGTGCATACATTTTTTATCTAGTCTCATATATGCTTATGAGGAATTTTCTAATATGTAAGCAAGGACTCAAGAATTCGCGGATTTCTGGTTCAGAAGGTTCTTTGGATCCGGAAATGTCATAATTGCTAATTTTTCCTGTTTGCAATACATGAATATTAGATCTAACCACCCTGCGAACATAATAAAGCACATTCCTAAAGGAATAGATTCTAGGTTATCCAGAAATTCTTCCAGTAAAATAATTTTTGAAGATAAAAAGAAAGAATATGAGAAGAACTTAAAGGTCACAAAACCAAATAAGAATTTAAACCTTAAATTACACAACATATGAAGAACAATTCATGGAAAAGAAAAAAATATCATATTACTTACTAAATATTCCCCCTAAAATTCAGAATTACATAAGATATTCAATAAAAACACAATTAAATTAAGCTACACCTGCAGTAGTAATTTAGAAAAAAATAATGATGTCCGTTAAATGTCAACTGTCGTTTTCGTGTTCCAAGTACCAGTGTCTCTTCCCATTTTTCTTGAAGTGTCCTCATTGTTCTTTTCTTCAGTGCTTAATATTCTCGGCATTCTTCTGTAGAACGACGTCTCTGTTACTTGAAATCTCCTCTTTATTGACAAGGAAATTATCCAGCATTCACTACCATATAAAAGGATTGATAATGTGTAATAGTTCAGAACTCATTTGTTCGTTTCTCAAGAAATCTACCTGTCTCCTAATATCTTGTTTAGGTTTTAGAAGACATATTTCACGATTCCACTTTGTCTTTTGTAAATTGCAGAAGGATCATCTCTGGTCAAAGTCCAACAATAATCAACTAACATTGATGAACACCCCCTTCCTTGATATCTTTTCTTAACTGCTGCAATGTCTTGATGAAGTTGTTCACCATGCTCATTACTCACAGCACCACTATTTTAACAGGGGAAAATCATGATGCAGCTCTAAGAAGTGGATCTTCAATGACATGTTACAGCCAAAATGTTTGTTTACCTTCAGGATGTTTCCGCCAGTTTTCTGTAATTTTTTGTCCTTACCCAGAAAGTTAGTTGCCACTGACTTGAAAGCTTTTCCATGCAGTTTTTTTCCCCTTTACCCATGGTACTCTGTCAAAGTTTTCATTCAAAAGAAGTTTATGAATGTGGAGACCAACAAAGCTGCCTTCCTTTATCTTTGCTTCACTTATCCTGGGAAATTTATTCTGCACATATTTGAATGCTGCCTTTTTTGTCCATAGCCTCCACAAAATATTTTACAAGACCACGCTTGATGTGAACAGGTGACAACAAAATTTTCTTTGTCTCAACTACTGGTGGATGCTGGACATTTTTCCTCCCAGGTTCTAGTGATTGTCATAGTGACCAGTTTCTATTAATGTAATGAGAAATTCTCTCTTGGCATTCACAAAGAAAACAACAGTACTTGGTATATCCATCTTGCAGTCCTAGCAAGAGAGAAACCCCTTTCAAATCTCTGTAAAGTTGCCGGTTGGTCATAGTTGATACATATTGTCAGAATTTTACCATTATGTAACAAAACAGCTTCAAGTCTTGTATTTGAAGCATCAATGAAGAGCCTATATTCTTCTGGATTATAACTGATGTTCAGTGATTAAGACCACTGGTATCATTTCAGTACATCAAATAATTTTCCATAAAGAAAGAATGGGACTAGATCCTTGTGATGATCATGACAATGGGAAATCCTGTACATTACAAGATAATAGATTCCACTCTTGTAACCTGGAATTTAACAGTTCTGCTTTAATCTTAGGATATTCCGATTCTCTAAGTCCTTTAGGTCATTTTAAGTTAGGTGGTATGGGTTAATAGACACATGTTGGACAATAATCTTGCTCATATGAAGTTGATGGTTCAGGCTCTGAGGTTTTTCTTTCTCTTCCGATTCATCTGACGCAGTTTTATACGATCCTGATGCTTCTGGAACTGGTGTGTCTTCATTATAGAAAAGAGGACGTAAAGCTGATAGAATGTTTGGATATTGCACAGTCTATTTCTTTTTCTTTGATAATCTCTTAGTAATTGGAGGCAACATGCAAAAGTAGAAATCAGTGGCATGATCGATTGGCTCTATCCAAATCATAGGCATTGCAAAAGGTATAGATATTTTCTTCTTGGTACAATATATGTATTGTGCCCACTTCTTGTCTTGCTATCAAGTTTTGCATCCAAAATATATTTGGTAAGCTTATCTCAGAACAGTTTTTATATTTTGCTTTGGGAATGCGGGTTATCTAAGCGGCATCATCTTGATTAAAAGAGAACAAAACAAAATATAAGTAAATGAGAGGTTTTGTAGTCAAGCGACAACAAGCCGGACATTGATGATTTCCGACTGCTAGTCTATATCATCAGTCGCAGCTGGGGTTGAAGAAGCCAGTTCTGGCTCGCCCTTGACAAGAGGATAGACTATTCTCAAGCAATTCCAATATCGCTCTTTCGTATTGCCAGCAGCGTGTCGTCATGTTTATGCGGATAAAGAGTTGGTTGGAGAGAAGAGTCGAAACGAAATGTGGATCTGTTAGACAGACATGGCAGAAGTCGTTTTAAGCGTCACCTGCCTAGCCACACGGAGCGAGCAAGCGAAGCCCTGAATAAAACGCCTAAATATATTTGAAACCGGATTCGAGTTCTGATTTCTCACCGTGGTGTTTGTTGTCATCTTTCGTTTCTTTGTGAACGTGCAGCGGGTCTTTCCCAGTTTTTGGTGAACAATGACGAGAACGAAAATTGAGACACAAAGTTGGGTAGTCATTGAACGATCGTTGGAAAGTTGGGTGAAGTCTCCGTTTTATGTTTACAGTATCCCTCCTAATCCATGTTTTGCCATCCATTCGCACCAACTTGCCAGGTGATGCGCTGCTTCTTTTTGTCTCTCTTGCCTTCAGTATATCCCGTGAGTGTCAAATTTTCCAAGACCTCTTTCCTCGTTATGTGTCTCTGAAATACGAACTGTCTCTTTCTGACTCCAAGAAAAAGTGCCGCATTTGTTCATATTAAAACTTCCTCGTTACTCACATGTTATATCTATGGTATTCTCAGTATTCTTCTGTAGAGCCGTATCTCTGTTAACTCGCTGACATTAGGATAGTATTAGACTGTATTATTCTTTGATGAGAAGTAAAAGATTTTTGCTGCTTTGCTGAGAAGTTTCACTTACCAGATTTTTACCGATTTGCTGAGAAGTTTTCACTTACCAGATTACCACGTCTTTCATTCTTTACAGAATTTACTTTAAAAAAATCTAGTTCTCTAAGACTACCAAATAGTCCCTTGCTAAGAAAAAATAAAACGATGAGCATAAGTGGCTCTATAAAGTTGCATGAAAAAATGATCGAAGATTATGGAATAAAATGGCGAATATTTTGTCCAATAAAGTTTACCTCGAAATAAACATGTCATTTATTTCTACTTAACAAACTGAATATATATTTTTCATTACCTAATACCAATGCCCTTGAGAAAGGCATGAAACTCTCTTTTCTCTCTCCAATAGTAGAGTGGGCTGACCTCTCTTTATAGGTTTGTATTGAGGTCGTATGCATTGATATTTTCTTTAGGGTAGGTTATCTCGTAGAAATATTCTTAACGAAGCCTGACTAGCATTGCAATTGCGTCAGTAAGACCGAACCATTAACAGTACCATATATGTTATGGGGTGACTTGTGACCATATAGTCACTGTGTTTTGAAGGAATGTAGCTCGCATTACTTACATTGCAGGCAGGTAAAGAAGCGGGGAGATATAAACAAGTGTGTTAATGTAGCGATGATTACTTGTAATATTTTATTTTTCAAAGTTACATACATTCAGGGTGTACGTGATGACGACTCTAAGTTTTCTTTTAATATGCGTCAATTGCCATAAATTCTTGGGAAATATAGTGGAGTGGTTTCTCGTTACCTTCTCTTTGAGTTACAATTCAATATTCTTTTACTTAAACTGGCTACCATCCAAGGTTAAATTGCTCTGTCTACCTTGCTATTTAATCCAAACTTTAGGTTAGGAAAAAGAATTCCTTTTCCAATTCTAATAGTACGAAGTGAATGTAACAGACTATTACAGAATTTGAATTCGGCTCGCCGATTTAATCACATAAATAAAAGACTTCAGATGCTTTCAAGATTTAACGTAGGCGCGGTCATGGCTTTCAGCATCTATCTTTTGCATTATCAGTGAATTATCAGTAGTTTCCCATTTTCTTTCTATCTTTTTCTTTCTTTCTATCTATCACTTTCTTTCTTTCTTTCTCTCTTTTTATCTCTTTTTCTTTCTGTTTCACTTTCTTTCTTTCTCTCTTTCTTTTTATCTATCTTTCTTTGTGTCTTTTTCTCTCTTTCTTTTTATCTTTCTTTCTTTCTTTCTTTCTTTCTTTCTTTCTTTCTATCTCTCTCTCTTTTTATGTCTCTTTCTTTCTTTAACCCATAGCTAGGGGGAAGTTCCGGCTTGATATCTTTCGTATAATATTAATATTATTAATATAATAATACAATTTGCGTTATCAGTGAATTATCAGTAGTTTTCCGTGTTCTTCTTCACGATTTGGAATTCACAATTGTCCTTTTCTTAGACTGGCTGCCAGCCAAAGCTAGAGAAACCGATCCACACTTCTATTTAATTCATAGCTAATGGGGAAGTTCTGGCTTGATACCTTTCGTAATGGAATGTGTGCGAAACTGAACAGAGCAGACCGGGGTTAGGGATTGAACTTGGCTCGCTGGCTCCAATTTACCGGCTGATAATCGTTATAAAGATCGCCTGTGAAATCAACAATCATCAAATGTGGCTAACATTTTACTATTTTAAGAGAAAGAAAGGCAAGAAAGAAAGAAAGCAATAAAGAAAGAGAGAAAGAAAGAGAGAGAGAGAGATATAAAAAGAAAGAGAGATAGAAAGAAAGAATTTAAGAAAGATAGATAGAAAGAGAGATAGAAAGATAAAATGAGAGAGATAGAAAAAAAGAGAGATAGATAGAAAGAAAGAAAGAGAGATAAAAAGAAAGAAAGGAAGAAAGAAAGATAGATAGAAAGAGAGATAGAAAGATAGAAAGATAAAATGAGAGAGATAGAAAGAAAGAGAGATAGATAGAAAGAAAGAGAGATAAAAAGAAAGAAAGGAAGAAAGAAAGATAGATAGAAAGAGAGATAGAAAGAGAGAGAAATAGAAAGAAAAAGAGATAAAAAGAGAGATAAAAAAAGAAAGAAAGAGAGAGAGAGAGAAAGAAAGATAGAAAGAAAAAGATATAGAAAGAAAGAAAGAAAAAGAGATAGAAAGAAAGAAAGAAAGAAAGATAGAAATAAAGAGAGATAGAAAGAAAGAAAGAGAGATCGAATAACGTCTTACGATCTGATATCATAATCGTCACCATCATGAATTATATCAATCAACAGACTTCATTTATTAAATTTCTAAAAGAAAAAAAAAAGCATACATCTGGTAATTCATTCTTCAATGTTGATTTTTAAAAAATAAATCTCTCTGTATTTTTGTGACATGCCTCTTGAGGATATGGATGATCATGATTCTTCACAGCTTCCTGTCCTTTGTTGTTCTCAGTAATATATTCTTTTTTATAACTCCTCTGTTGGGCGGTTTTGATTGCATCTAACGTAAGTACAAATATTTAATACATCAAACGTTATCTTTATTGGATACTCATGTTTTAAATAGACGCCTTTATATTAAACAGTGTGTATTACGTCTATCGACCTGTGCACTCGAAAAATCTAATAATAAAGGAAATGTATTCAAACCTACGCCTTCACCTTGTAGTAGAAACCTACCATTTGATCTGGCTTGCTTTAGACTGCCTGGCCACAGGGAGCGTCACTACACAACAAGGGGTTGTATTTTTGCTTTTAAAGAATGCTCACTTTCTCGTTTTGAAATAATAAAAATATTGAATTAAGAATAAATCTAATAATTGTTTATAAATTATAGAAATTTATCGAAACATTAAAATAAAATAAAATAAAAAACGGCTGGGAAAAAGTCGGAATAACGTAAAGGAAGGTTTTCGTTTATATAAAGTGAACACTATGCTAACAAAATTTGTTACACACCTTCTTTCCGGCCTTAAAAAGGAAATTTAATAGATGCCTTCTTTCTTAATAATGTCCCAACATTTCTAATGACTCTTTCTGAGTCTAATTAAAATTTTCTTCTTAAAATCTTTTTAAATTTTATCATTTGCTCTGTATATGATATTCTCAGCTTTCATCATTAAAATTTACATCTGTAGTTTTTTTAAAAGATTCCTTTACCTTTTTTTTAATTTTCTAAAAAATTGTCCAACTTTCACAATCATATAGGTAGGTAGATATTATGCAGTAGTCCAGCACTCTTTTCTTTATTTTTAATGGTATTTTTCCACCAGTTGCTCAGCCTGTGAAAAGTTTCATTCGTCATTTCTGTTTGTTTTTGAAATGATGAATTTCTAATTAGTGTTGCTTTAAAAGAAGAGAAAAGAAAAAAAAAACGGAAAATGATTTCCAAATGATAAGACTTGATACAGCTTTGAATGCGAAACTGACAAAATACTCCAGATCAGTGGTCGCCAACCGATGATCCACGTTTTGATTGTCCGTAGAAAAATTGGGACATTATTTCAATTTTTATGAAGCTTCAGATTAAAAAAAAATGACGAGTAACAAAATGTACGCATCTGTGTACATAAATTTGTGTGTATGTACATGTGTGAATTGTATGTATTCTTTTATGTTTGCTTGCATTTGCGTGGGTGTATGTGTGTGCATGTTTATCAGTCCATGTGTGCATGTATGTATGCGTCTATGAGTGTACGCATTAGTGCATATATGCATCTGAGTTTGTTTGTATACATTTGTATGAGTGCATGTGTATGTGTGTACACGTTTGTATGTGTGCGTCTGTGAGCATGTATGTATGCGTATATGTGCGTATAGGTTTGGTTATATATACGTCTATCTGTATAGACCTGTGTGTATACGTTTGTATGTGTATGTGTCTGTGTTAGTTCATTTGTATATATTTGTATGTGTGCTTCCTCTGTTCCTGTGGGTGTTTTAAATCTGACTTTTTGCATAATATAAATAAAGATGGAAAACGAGATTTCGAGACGAGATTTGAATCTTGCTTTAAACAAGCGTCCAAATGGAAGACATCTTCTTTTTTTCTTCTCCAAATTTAAAGGCTAACTTTTCAGACTTTTTCCGATTATTATTATTTATATTATTTTTGCTGTTTTTGTTGTATTGACACAACAGCGTTTCTACTTGATCCATTCTGTAATATCCTTCAAGTGTAAAATTCGGAAGGTTGTTTTTTTAATCAAGTAAATCAAATCGAGAAATGGGGACCATCAGTTTTAAATAGTTCATAAATAGTAACGTTGAAGCGTGAGAAAATTCAACTGCAGGAGAACCTTTAAGCTAGAATATATTATTTACATTATTCGGACTATTGTCCTCATCTTTGTCGCCATATTTATCACAACGTTTCGGCCGTTGTACGCTCCGGTGGTTGGAATGTCGAACTGGACCCTTTATTTCGCTCACCGGGGTAGACTGTTCTAGATGTCAGTTATCAGTTATCTCCTGTTAATTTCCCTCTGAAAGTTCTCCACTGCCTTAACCGGGTATTGAACTCACACTTTTTTGGGTCCTGTCACTGGATCTAACCAACGCCTTTATCCACTGTGCCATGTGAACATCTGGGTATGAATTTCTGGGTATTATAAACCTAATGTCTTCAGCAACCATTTAATGTAAATAATGTACATAATACTTCATCTCAGAAATATAGACAGACTCTAGACTATAGGGAATGTGATTTGCTTTGTTCGTGTTTTTAACATTTTTTTTAACTAGAAAATCTCTTTTCGCACCATTTCTAATTGTTTGTTATCAAAGTATACTACTGTTTTACCTTACCCTGTCCATTTATTTACTGCTTGTATTAATGATGCTTGTACTGCAAGGTTTTTTAACGTTCACGTAGGCGAACTAGAATGCGAGGTTGTCGCAGGAAATGTAATCGGCGAACCAAGTTCGATATTTACCTACTATCGTATAAAGCCTTGGGTAACAACCAGTTTAAGAGAACTTCTACACCTCCACTTATGGGTTAAATAGATGGGTGGGATTGGCTCTCTAGAGAAGGTAACGGGAAACCACTTCTCAAAAAAAAAGTGTTTTATTTTATCAATATTAAGGTTAATCTGCAGTGTAGCACCCACGCTCAGTTCGCATTAAAAGTTTCCAAAATACTTACATTTATGTGTAATTGTACATGCTCCATTCAAATCTGGCTTGATAAATTTGATAAAATATACTGTTCTGGAGTTACCTGCAGTGAAATTTGGGATTCAATCGCGTTGGCGGCAGCCATTACTCGCGTTTTTTTGTATACATTCACTGCGGAAAGCTAAACGCGGAAGACTACGGAAAGCTAAGCTCAAAACTGATCTAAATTTGTCTCAATTACTGCGCACGAGAACTATTTACGTAGACACGCTTAGTTTGCGCAATGATACCCACGCTGATAGCTATTCTGCAGTGAATGTATACAAACAACGGCAGTAATGACTGCCCGCGACGAGAATGAATCTGAACTTTCCCTGTCAATAACTCTAAAACGGTAGATTTTATCAAATTTATGAAGCCAGATTAAAATGGAGGATGTATAATTACACATAAATGTTAGGATTTTGGAAATTTTTAATGCGAACTGAGTGAGGGTGTTACACTGTAAATTAACCAATATTAAATGCACCCATTAAATGTAAAAGTTATAATATAATTATTTACATAAAACAAATTGAAAATTTGAATTTTGCAAGTCATGTTAGGTTATACTGTGGCTGGATGATGTCATATTTGTGTACATGTGTACTCGTGCTTATTTGGAGATTACATAAGGTCTTGAACACATATACACACACCGAGACATACACACAGAAAGGTATGCACACATACATACACAAACGCATAGGTACAGAATTGTATAAACACATAGGCAGAAGATTATATACACAAACGTATACGTACAGACCCGTACAGACGCATACAAACGGACAGTTACAGACACATACACACACAAACGTATACACACATACAGCCATAGACGCATACAAACATACACACAGACACATATATATAAAAACACACGCACGCATACACATATACAGACATACACACACAGATGCATATACAAATACTGACGCGCACACGCAAACGTATACATACGCAGAAACTCATATACAACAATTCATGCACACATAAATATGTACTCTCATACACACAGGCGTATATACCTAAATGTATGCATTCACACACACACAGAAGCATGCACACATACACACACAAACGTATATAAAGATATACACACAGACGCATCCACATACGCACAGACGCATTCCATCACAAAAGTAAAACCACACATGCACTCTGGATTCTGTCATCTGAAATTTCAGGATTTTTGTATTCCCCTTAAATTTTTGACATTTAAAAATAAATTGACGCATCAGATTTATTTACGATATTTACAATCAAGATATATATATATATATATATATATATATATATATATATATATATATATATATATATATATCAAGTCAGTTTGGGCGATCATGTATTTTTCGATACATGACTGACAAGGTGGTAGATCTTTTTCCGCATTAGGTTGCCATTTCTTTCTGCGGTAGACTGGTTGCCAACGAAGGCTAAAGAACCCAATCTGTCCTGCTATGAAACCCATAGCTGGGAGAGAAGAAATAGATTCATACCTTTCCCAAGGGTATTTGTACGCAAGTAGATCTAACGAACTCGACTATAATTTGAACTCGGCTTTCCGAATTTTGCCCGAGCCGAAATCCATTACACATATATATATATATATATATATATATATATATATATATATATATATATATATATATATATATTTCAAAAGAGTAAGAATAAAAAACCTCATTTGTCATGTGATGAAAAGATTCTATAAGGGATGGCGTTTAGAACTCTTCCAGATATAATATATATATATATATATATTTAAAATGCATATTTAGAAAAAACGGTTTTCAAAAAACGTTTTCAACCTGTTCGAACAAGAGCTTTCTTTTTCTGGACAAAGTGTAAAAAACATTTGGTCATCCTAGAGAAAACATTTTAATGAGATCCCATCCATATATATATATATATATGTAGCCATACAACAAAGCCACGTGCGCAAAAAATACTAGAAAGACAAATTTCTTTATCCCGCAGGATAATACTACACCAGGTGGGCGAAAAGAAAAATAACACATTCCGATTAAATGACCCAACAAATGTCAGGAGAGAACTGCCTGACGTGAGC